GCACTGAACGACAGCCCGCAAGTCTTTTGCCAGAAGGAACCTTAGGGGATTGCCACGGACAGCTTGCAAGCGTTGCCTGAAGCACTTGTTCACAATCCACTTTGCCGATTGGGTTCGCACTGTTTTGTTCAACAGTCGTAGCGGCAATATGTGTAACAGCAAACAATATCAGAGGAGACTTTTGTTTCATGATAATCGATAAATCAGTTGTAAACAATTTATATACATTTGCAATCTGACTATGATTTTCTTGATGAACTGCCTTTGTTGCTGCAAGTTTGCGGAAGTCTGAATTAGCAGCAGTATTCGCACAGAAACTTGATCAGTATTATCGGTCGAGGCGAGTGATTATTTGCATTCTAATTTTTGTCATTATCCGATTGGGCGAGTTCTTCATTAACCCCTATCTCACTAAATTCAATTTGATCTTTAATCATATCGTTTCATTTGATTTCCGATGGAATTGCCATCATGTTACGTTCTTCATTGGTAGCAGTGGACAGACACCTCTCCATCAATCCAGCAGCAACGGGTGCAATTCCAAAGGGATTGGAATTCTTACTGTAACGGCAGCTAAGGGTTAACTAGTAAAAGAGAATTTCGTTTCACTATTTGGTGAAGAAAAAGCTGGCAGCAACCCAGCTCCTATGTCTAGCGAAAGCCTGGATGTTCTCTTTAGTCAAGTGGTGGCCACGTTGAACACAAAAGTGAGGTGCTTCTGGGAACCAGGTTTGCTTCTACCGTTTAGGAATTGAGGCATTAAAAGCGCATCCTAGCTTCTTCACCGGAGCGGCTGGCATTTCTTTCCTATATACCAGTTTTATGACACTGGTCAACAGTGGTCACAGATTGATCAATATCGAATCGGTTAAATCAAATGCGCATGTCCCCGCCTTGTTCTACACGAAATCAGCAACATTTTGCTCCGACTTCATTGTCCTCGCTTTTGTTATCAATTTTCTTTGCCATCCATCAGCAGCACAAATGATCTCCAATTGACAAGTAACTGACGTATTGCGTCAAATTGTCTGCGAATGGCATAGCACGACGAAGAACTAGAAAGCAATTGTGATGTTAGATCGGAATGTAATGACCGTCCTATACAATAATCACTCAGAATGTCCATGAAAATCACTAGGGTGGCCACAGCGAATGAATCTCCTTCATTCGGAACAGCATGTTTATATATTAAGTAATCATCAAGACAGCAGAGGAACATCTGACGTTGATAAACAGAGTCAAATGGCAATGGCCAAACACCATCAGCATGAGATAGACCAATAGCAGGAGTCGCCTTTCTTGTGGACTATCTATTAATAGCTTTGTTGGGGATCCTTTGTGACAAATCTCGCATTTTAGTCTAGCAGCAGCAAAAGTCATATTGATGGTGACTATATTTCTTTCCGTTTGTCTCACTTGCGTGAGCAGTTGATGATGGAATATTGTAGTGATTGTCGCGGCAGTAGATTCCGCAAACGATGCATTTAAATAACGCCAAAGCTGCTCACCTTCAACTAAATGCACTATTGAACGAAACACAATCATCTTTGAATGAAAATCAGGCCGCTTCATATACTGAAAAAGAGATTGAGATAAAAGCTGCTCTAATACGAGCAACAATGTTATTTTTCCGATAAACCACTATTCAGAAGCATCTCACTTTTAACCATTTGACATCTACAATGGCATTACAAATACCAGCGAAAGATCCTCTGTTTTGAGTTAAGTCGCAGAACTGATTCAGGCTGCCAATAATATATTATCAGCCACTATATCCAAAAAGAAAAACGTTGTAGAGCTACTTCCACTTGCTAGCGACTTTCAACGACTAAACAACCAGGGTCCGATCAACTGTGAGTGATTGCCGAACGGGAATAGCAGCGGATGCACCTGCGGGAACGGGTAATAGCGACGAAACTGACTTTGTGAGAACCTCATTATGGCCAAAACTACCTATTTCTAAAACCGATAACTTGTCATTGGTAGTTGTCAAGTCGTTTCGAGTTGTGTTTGAGAATCAGAGACAAACTAGGTTCAACTAGAGCTGCCTTGATAAGCGTCTTCACGAAGATGGTTGACCAAGATCTTAGCATCACTTTATACTTTACACTGAAAGTCAGCAAATCGGGTAACTATCTTTTCAGCGTAGGTGATGACCAACACTCATTGACCATAAAATCCAGCAGCAAATAAGTGAGGTATTTATAGCTATAAATTATTGCATTAGAATTGATTTATCCATATCTTCTAATTCTTTCTAATTGAGAACGAGTTTTGTCAGTAACCATAAATGAGTGATGTGGTCAAAGTGATTAGACCTCGCAAACCAAATGTAACGTAAGACCTCCATAAAATAACTGGTAATTAAAAGCCGTAACACCCATTATAAACCACATTCATCACTATAGCCGGATCAAATCCGGCAGTAGCCATGGCAGAGAGACTTGAATTGATTGGACCGTTATCTTTGTTAAACTCAACTTATTCGGTAAAATTATCTCTTATTTTAATAAAGCGTCGCCCCAGCAATTGAATCTGAGCAGTTCGATACTCAAGACAGAACCCAAAATTGTTAGCATCACAGCATTGATTACAATCTGTGATTTTTGCCGGCGATCATTCAGAATTTGGCCCAAATCCTGTTGAAGCGTACGGTTCATATTATCTCATTGTGATGAAAAATATGAAAAGACTAACCTAAAATGATCTACAGCCCCTACTACTAAATTCTGTGTTAGCTGGTGCAGCGCCACTAGAGCTGACCAGCGACCGACAGGGAGGCTCACATCATTCCGTGCCAGAATCTAAGCAGCCTACCAAATTAAGTTAACACAGTTGAGAGACGTGTCCAAAGTGGCAAACCCGATTATCTACCTCCGGTTCGTCAGAATCAGCCTCCCGTTTTCCTCCCGGATAGTATGTTTCTTGAGCTAATCCAGAAAAGGCAGCTTAGTCAATCGCTTCTACATATTTGCTGTAGATTTATTGTGATATGATGTTATTGTTTCATTTCAATGGGTTTTGAGACCAACTTGCGAAACTTCACTTGCGATATCTCACTTGCGAGAACCACAGAAATAAATGGATGCAGTGAGTACTACATTGTGGCTCTGCCTTCAGATTATGGTACTTGCTCATCTTGGTCTATTCCTGTATGACATTCTCCAAGAAAATGATATTCTTGCTGATGAAGTTGATTTCGGTAAAGTTTAGATTGTTGTGGGCTTCATTTGACATACGTTGGCCACAGTCAACTTACTTTCAGGTGCACTGGAGTTGGTGGTATAATAATGATGATACTCCAGTGTAGCATAGACGATTTTGCAAAAGTTGTCAGCTAAACCGAGGGTTGAAACTGCTATTATTATCGCTAGTTGACCTATTTTTGGTACGTGGCGCAATCAAAAATTCAATACACATGAGTACAATAACTTCATTAATGATCTGCGACGACGAATTTTCATGGCCTCCATTCTGAATACTCGCTGCCGTCGTCTATTTCTGTTTTGCTTCTCACTCCATCTACCCTGAATGAGTTGTTCCTCACTTTCTCGACAGCATCAAGTTACTCTTATTATTGCAAAAGCTTGAAGCAATCATTAAGATGATGGTGCGTCGGCTGCTGACTCAAGCTCAACACCGTTGGTCTCCACAAATTGGTCATTGATCAAAAAGGCTTAAAGACAACAATGCCATCCCATCCTTGAATCACAAAGATAGTACTGCAACTGACTGTTTGGGACCTCGGCAAAATCGTGCTTCAGAATCAATCCCATCTGCTGCTTCTCCGACCCTCGGTAATTTCGGAGCCGCCAAGGTTCCTGAGTCCTTCTTTCAAAACCCGCTTAATATTGCACGCATGGCATGCTCAAAGCAAACCGCATGTGTTTGGATCTTCCTGCTTGCTCACCAAATGAAGTTCCCGCTAAACAGTTGAACGACCTAACTTCCCATTTGAGTGATGGTCTGCAATTGGCAAACAATAATTGACATCAATGGCACCGGCACCAAATTGCTCCCCTATGGAGATTCATTTGATATTGATCATCTCTCAGATCAAATAGCAAAATTAGGAAAAAAATGACCTACTTCAAGGAAGCCTCTTCGCTGCCGTTCAAGGGTTCTTGTGTTTAATTAAATGGCCAATTGGCGTTTGTCAGACTCGCATAAGGATTAAATGATGAATCTGCTTCTTTTTGCGGTGCTGCTCTAGAGACAGCCAAATGGATTCAACTGGTTGCTCATGCTGGTAATGCAGGTTATCGACTAATAGCCAAAGAGCTAGGGATTGATCAAAGTGATGAGTTGAGATGATAGTTATTTCAATGAACACATAAACAGAAGAATATTAATCAGTCATTTACACACAGGCCAGCGCTGTTCTTGGCCTACTTCAAGTTGAGATTGTTGGGCAACGCCAGTTGCCGTCGTTGATGAAGGCCAACTTAGCTTTCGCAATTCTTTTCATTGCATCTCAAATGCTGTTTCTGTCAAATTATGCGTAATCATAGACCAGTGACTTGTTCGGGTATATATTTAATTCACGTAACTAAAGTTTGTCAATGCTGTTCGAAATGTTTAATTTGATAATGAATATACTCCGGGGTTTCGCTACAGATTTGTCCATTCTGACGAAATACAAGATGAGATTTAATGTTTTCTGCAATCTGATCAAAATTGGCTTGCCGAAGATTCTCAATGATCTGTGACAGCCAACGCATGAACAGGAGTACTCTAGCAATAGCTCTTTATTCCTAAAGTACTCCTTGTTCCATTTTGGCAGAATTTGGTCAAAGCGATCAGTTACAGCAAGTATGGGATTCAGTTGACTATTCATTTGTAAGTAATTGAAAGAAACAACTTAAGTGTGGGTGTTTATAATTTATTTATAAGTCCTGCCAACGCGACAATTGATAGATAGATCAGCCAAACCAATCTAGCGATTTATAAGAGTCATGTGTGTGTTTGACCATTAACGGTCGAGTGGAGAATCGCTGACTATGCTCAACGATCCCAGAAGCTGCGAATTCTTTAGACTTTCCTGTTTTGAATCAATTAACAGTCTTGATGATACTGGTATTGCTCCCATTGATTCGACACTTCGTATTCATACAAGTTAGACCAGTTGCGGCAGGTGTAATTGGGATATGGGTCATCTGACAAAAACGAAAGATTGAACACCTCTACAAGTGCTACAATTCTTGCACTACCAGTTTATGCAAACAAATCTGATATTCCTGCTGATGATGGCAACCGCTAGAACATTATTAGCTGAGTTACCGACGATTAGTAGGTACAATCTAACATTAATTGAATACCTGTGACTAGCAAACCAGCACAATTGAGATAGATGGTATTTTCGGTGACCAGAATGCGGCTCTATCATGTAGTACTCAAACCTTGACATTAATTACGTGTGCAAGAATATCGCCATCCCAGCAGAAAGCCACTAAAATGCCTTTGCAAGAAGGCTGTTGCCAGAGGTGATTAATCTAGCTATATATTAGTTGTCATATCAGAGACTTAAAGGCACTGTAAGCAATCAACATTGTCCTTAGTGGTGTCAATAATTATCAAAGACCGCAACCTCCGCTTCTTCTTCCACGAATAAACCGTCTGTGGTTCGCAAAAGACATATCACAACTGGTTTTTCATGTTTTGATACTGATTCTAAAATGGAAACGCATAGCAATTTTCATTTGTTGACGTTTTGCAACGCTTAGAATGATGGAAAAGGCCAACCTCAATCAGTGTGGTCGTTGAAACTTTTAATTAATCAAAAGCCCATCTCAAGACGGTCAGCAATCGTTTTAGTTTTATCAATCATCGGTCCCACACCATTTACCTAATTTTTCAAATTTCAACGACCACAGTAATATAGCTATAGTTAATGGAAATTTTACTGTTCCCATTTTATTTGAAATAAGGGCAAGTCCCTTCGGGTTTTACTTCAGAACGCAGTTCATACTGAAATCATTCTTGTTTTTTGCTTCTTATCTAAAGATTTGATGCCGCGCAGCGAACCGCAGGTATTGGTGAAGCCTTCAGCGGCTACGTGAATATGATAGATTAGTAGTTCAATAAAAATCGATCAGATTTGCTCCCTAGACCTATCAAGGTCTCCAATCGCTTTTCCATTCCGCAGCGGATCTTGGGAATCAGATGCTGCAGACTTCTCAGCCTACAGATCCAGAATTTGCTTGTTGATTTTTCCTGCCAGCTGATAGAGATATGTTAATGCTATGCATGGTAGGTTGTGAATTATATTCCTTATTGCACGATGATTTGACTTTTTAGCTTCACGAAAACTGTTTCCAATATTGGTCGTTCATTTAATTATCTGATTCGCGTAACCCTTCTTTTTACCCAAATGTCCGAGGTATTGACTGACGTAGCGCTTGAGTGATTAACGAATCAAAAAGAAGTGGTAAATACACGTGTTAATTAAGTGAATGGCCGGCTCGTATGTACTTAAAAACATGTTGTCAGCGGCTTTGGAAACCATTGATGCTCCATACTTTTGACAAGATGTGGCAAAAAGGAAGCGCTGCTCATAGTTCAAAGCTGAAATATATTAGTTCTAATGCCTAAAACCGTAATCATTCCTGCGATGCCAAATTGCTATTATTCTCGCTGATCATCCTACCTTTGGCATGATCTCTACGATTAATTTCAAGTCATCTCATTGATACGCAGGATTCCTAAATGTTGGGGGGTTTCTTCAAACTTTTACACTGATTCCAATGTCAGTTTGTTCTTTCGCAAAAGGATTAGAATTCCTTTGTTTTTATACTCCAGTGTTTCACATTAATAGTTTTATTGGTAATAATTGTCGGTCTGATCTTTTGATGGATTTGGCGGAATTTCATTACCGCCTCATCGTTGAATCTTTCAAGCCCTTGCGACAGTTTTTCAACTGACCTATTATAACACATGTGTTGCGATGATTTAAGAAATAATGAACGACAACTTCCACTAATGGTGATCTCTACCAGTTGATAAATACCAGCATTGAGGCTGCGTAATTTTTTGGTTCAAATCAAATTTGTGTCTGTTGCAATTACTGAATTCTATTCAATTTTCAAGTTTTCACTCAATTGAGTATGCAATAATGTACCCGCAGCATTGGCTGATTTTCATATATTTTACAAATCAAATGGGCCGAGGAAATGAGGAACAGGCCGGATACCGTTCTTGACGCACGTACCAAAAGATTTCTACATTCCCCAATAGTTGAGGACTTGGACGTAGTTCTCTAAAGCACCACACAAACAGCTATTGCAAACTGGTCAATTATATTAGGGGATGGAAGCAACTTTGGAAATCAGTGGTCGAGATTTAATTTAGCTCCTGTGCCATGCGAATTGAATCTTTGGGGACAAAGTACTGCTTTGAAACGTTGTCACCCTGCGGATAACGCTGACGGTCTTCTGAAGGATCTCTGTATTGTGTGGAACCTCGAAGTGAACACTCTGCATCGTGGTATCCCGGAGAAGACCGCTTTTATGAAGCAGGTGACTCAAATCCAGCTACCTAAGAAATGCCGCTGCCGATCTCACGTACGTCAGCTCTGCTATATATATCATTTGTTGAAGTAGGTTTTCATCAAAGTTCAGAATGTTTTCTTGCTGGAATGAGAAATCCCTACCGATGCTCCAATTGCAAAATTGAGTGGTTCATGGTGTGTCTTTTTGCCGCTCTGTTTGTTTTATTGGTTGAAGCCTTTATGTTACAACATGCTGGTGATGCTGATGATGATCATTCACATAAAAATTAATGATCTTTTAAAGTCCAATAGCACTGGTTTGCATAGTGGCGGATTGGTTTCAGTAGTATTGCAACAGGTGTATGACATCAGTTGGTATGCCACTGATCTGTTGCTGAGCTTTAGAAATATCGACGGTGCTTTTGAGGATGATGCTTTTCTCATTATGCCCCGCTGATTGCTTCGACGAAAACGCAAAATTGATTTTCAAGTAACTCAATGGGAAATCATTTCTTCAAGGAGAGATATTACAAGATTCTCAAAGAGGTCAATGGCAATTCAATGGATGGGATGGCCGCTACTGCTCCATTTTCGCGCATCGATGGGGCCAAAAAACTCTAATAGAATTTACTGAAACAGCAGATCTCTCTCATAAAACTGCAAGCTAACTCTCATTTCGATTATGATGTTTCTGCTAGTAGTTCACCTTTAGCACCTGCTTTCCCCGTTGCTGTTGAATCAAAATGCACCCCTCAACAAAGGACAATGAGTTCGCTCCGTTGTGACATACCGAGACATCCTGCAGATTCCTGGATGACTTGACTGACAGTTGCTGACTACAGTCGGTCCAATCAGATGGGTCTGCTGCCATTTCTGTTTGGCCGGGTGCAACAGTTGATTGGTTGTGGTTGACTTGGTGGGTGAAAACAAAAAGGTTGCTGATATTGATGTTCAATTGAAGGTATTTTGTTTATTGAACCTTGCCCAATATTTTTGGTAACACTATTTGATGAGGGTTTTTTTGAACGCAGCGCAGAATTCTCCTTTCGGGGTCACTTCATCTGATGTTAACGGTAGTTCTACTCTGATAAATTTAAATGCCGATCATGGGAATATGATTTTTAGACGGCCACGGTAAACCTTAGCTCTCAATTTCTGCTGCTGTGATGAAGGTCCTATGTTTTTAATCTATGATGATCGGCTTTCGTTTAAATTTGTTGGGGTCCGTAAAAGAGCAGAAGCAAATTTATATTATCAATTTGATGAGCCATCAGCTGTTGGGTTAATCACTTGAGATTCACTAGGCAACTTGCTCATTCTGGTGAAATTGTGTCCAGTGATATATCACTGATAAATTTTGGTTGTCCTAGTGTTGGATCAAGGGCTGACTTATGTGAAATAGAGGATTGACTGCTGTCATGAACATGTACTGTGCAAACCAAACCACCGCTGTTACTTATTCACATATTGTTGATATTGATATGGAAGTGCCAGTTTTTGCTGTTTATGAGAGACGTTATTTTCTCACCGTTGTTGTTCAATACTCCAGCAACGGTAGTGCTACCTTAATTGCAGAAGCTCATTAGCTGTTGAACTTGTAGTATGGTATATGAAGGTCACCCAATTAGCCTTACCCAACACCGCTCATAAGTCTGTTCGCAAAAGCTGTGTGATTCACTCCAATTCCATGAATTTCCACAATAAAGGAATGAAACATGTAATATCATTTGAACAGATCTTTCATCATTGAATGAACCAAAAGCAATAACAAATCAAAAAATAAGAAAAGCGAGGCCACTGCTAATTGGAGCTGTCATCCCTGACAGTTTGGGGAGTGATCTTAAGATGTGAACACCGATTTTGATTATTTTGATGGCTAGCAAGGTTCATCTATTGTTCTCCAGACCATGAAAATTCTCTTAGCAAAAAAAATCAACTGCAGCTTCCATGAAAGTTATTCAAAGGTTGCATAAGCCGTTATTGCGCAAAATATCAAGCAAACCACCTGACGTCATTGAAATCCATCGCGCATTTTTTGTCGTTCAAGAATAGTACGAGTCAATGTACATTTATCTTCAGTCGTATCAGCCCTGCTCATTTCAGTTCGGCATGTTGCTTTGTTCAAACTGGATTCTCTTTCTATCATCTCACCCAGCTTCAAATAATAAAACAAGTCTCTTGCAGCTAAAGTTACTTGCATTGCCAATGGGGCGAGAAGACAAGCTCCGTCAACTGGTTTTGATGACACCGATTAAAGCCTCAAATATTGCTTATGCTACAGCTAAAATATTGTTAGCTGAAAGCCGATAAAAAATCATTGAAGGAATAAAATATATAGGCATGGATTTGGGGGCTAAGACTCAGCGAGCCTCCTGTGAGGATACCTGAAACTTCAGTAAATGACTACTGTTTCCACAAGAATTAGATGCAGATGGTCATGCTCTCACGGTCACTACGTGAGATATCGACCAAACTTGTGGTAGTAGGATTTTTTGTCATGAAGATCTTTATGACGCAGACAAAAGACGATTGCTGCTCACAAATTATTCAAAATTAACTGTTGAACACGGATCTTCTTTAAATGGTTTGCGCCGGCGCACATCGCCGTTATTAACGTTGATCCAACTACTTCAGTCGATATCCGGCTGATTGCTACTCAAATAGCAATTCAGCCAATTGTTGATTCCATGCCAATCAGCTGGGCATGTGTCCCTCAGGTATCAAAGAAGTTTGCTGTCGAGTGGTAATCAGATCGAACCCTGCTCCAACAAGTAGTTTTGCAACAGCAGCACCAGTTGTGCAGAATTTCACGTTGTTTAAACTGATTGAGTAAAAAGAAGATGTTAGTCCAGTGATTAACCAAGAAATTGTCAAAAACATCCGTGCGAACGCCTCATCAAAGCCATTATAGGATGAGCAAATTCATCTGACAATTGATGCTCTCTTTGTCGACAGCTGCTGTGAGATCCTCAGAAGCAACCATATCAATTTGTTAAAGATAAAACCTTTTTGACGCTGCAGATGTTACAACAAGGGATGAATGGTGTTGCAAAGCGTCCTTTTTGCTTGCGCAAGTCGATTTTATTCACTGTTGCCAAACAAGCCTTTGAATTAGGATCATTTCACCATGGTGCATCACATCCGTGAAACAACCAACTTGATTAACTTATTCGGATATAGGAGAATCAGCAAATCACGCAGCACCAACAGTGGATTGGATGAGGTTGGCAAAGCCGTTGCTTAGTTTGCTGATCAAAATGAATCATTTGTGAGTTATCCTCGGTGGGGGTTTTGGAGCTGACTATTTCATGATAAACGAAGCGACTGCCGTTCGTACGAGGGTACACCTCAGCACATCGATAAGCTGAGTAAGATTGATTGCTGTTGTGGTGAAGTAACAGAAACAGTCATCAACCCTCTATAGATTTTAATTAAATGAGAGGACACAGAGTTGCATTTCGATGAATCATTATTGTTACAAATCGGCTATTTGCTCGTTTACTGTTGAGCCAAAATCGATTCTGCATGAAACGGATGGTGCGGTAGGGCCACTTAGCAGATCTCTTGTGGCACCGTCTGAGATGCACATATGCTGGTCAAGAAATCTCTTAAAATATTCGAAATGTTACCTATAGAAACTTCGATGCTAACTGCATAAAGATGAGTAGAACGGACTCTGCTGGCGATCTTGTTGAAGACATTGGGAACGGAAATTCAATTATGGGGTTCTCGTGGTGATTATTGACTTACCGTATAGCTGGAACTCAATCAAAAGCCTGTCCGTTTTCTTAGTGAGTTGCGTTAGGCATGTTCATTCTACTTGCCGAGGCCCACAGTCAAAGTCTGGGGCAGTTCAATATTGTAGTTATATTTTTAGAGGTATTGATAAGAACTTTTACAAAGACAGCACGCTTCCGCTAGTGAATGGTAAATCATTACTCTGATTACAGAACCACCCAATCAAGTATCGATGACACACCTTCCGATGAAATGGGTATCGGGTAAATATTTTTCAATTGAAAACTGGTGACAAATTGTAATGTTGCTCAAAATTTAACTACGAGGGTTAGGGCGCATTTGGTAAATTCACTGAATGATTCACTTTCTTGATACAGTTAATCATGGTTCTTGCTGTGCTGTGCACGTTGTTTCCAGTTCATTTGATGATTATTGCATCTTGGGTTTGCTATTGAGTCGGTTTTGTAATTGTTAAATACTTGATTTTGCTACTGTACATTGGTTCTCTCTACTGCCGATGCAATTAGAGTGCACTATTGCTTTTGATTTAAAGTCAGTAAATACATATATTGGATTTGTTAAACATCGAATAGATATGTTACTGTTGTGCTCTTTCAATTGAGGTACGCATTCATTCGGTGAATCTTCTCAATGTTTTATAACACTGCTTGGCTGACTCTATAACAATTGTCCCGAAGTGTCAGTGTCTGCAAACAAAGAATCAATCTAATTAAGGAACAGGCCGCGTACCCTTCCAAAAACCACAATCCACATCATCTTTCAATAGTTTCTTTGCTGGAATTGAGTGAGGAGCCTTATTGTTGCAACGCCGTTAGTGGTAATTATTCGACATCCGATGATCCTTTGTTCAGACCTTTTATATTAGAAAGACTTCGTTGGGTTTCCCATGCACATCATTACGACCGGCAGATGTTTTCGCCAATCCACATAATATATCATTGTCAAGAACTTGAAACGTAAAACAAAAGTCGAATGGATTGGGACCAATTTTTATAACGACAATGGATTGGTCTCTAATCGTCACGGCAACCGACCACTGAGTTGCTTTGAGTGACCGAAAGAAGGGATCCCTCAGGTTCATAGCAGCCGCCCTAAACACTGTTAACTGATCTCAAATAGTCGGGAGACGTAATTAGACATTACAAACGGCGGAAACGACCGTTTACGTCTGGGAGCCCTCATCCGATGTGACTCCCTCACATGATCTGTCGAGATGGGCTCACAGGTTCAGTGAAGTGAGCTCAAAGTCGGATCACCGTCCTCTAAGACCAAATCGTTTAGGTGATGTAATTCAGGGAGTTTAGAATAGATTCTTGCCAGTTGCGCTAAAATGGTTTTCTCAACAAAGCATCAGGAGTGCTTTGGCTTTATCAGGTGAACTTGTTCCCTGTCTTATTCCTTTTATAACTAATTGATTGGTCGTGAAGATCCATTTTTTTGAACGTCTCGTTGTGGCACACCCCTTCCACCCCAAAATAATTAATGAAGCTGCAAATGAATGAATCACTGAAAAACTGAAATGAGTAAAAATTTAATGTAGTGTCATGGATACTATAATAGCCGTGATATAATTTAACATATCTGAAAGCTTCTTAACGGTCGATCCAATTAGTAACACCAGTAGAATTAATTGACGTGCTTTTGGAGAATCAAATAATTGAAAGTACTGAAGCACAATCAACTGCAAACCAAGCATGTAATAATGATTGATTGAATCGCAAAGACGTAGAAACGAAAATGACAAACACCATCATTGAATTATTCTCATACTTTACTGAGATATTTACACTAAGGCCAATTTAATATTTTTCATGGTTTTCAACAACATCATTTATTAGTCTTGTGCTGCAATCAATAAATAATTGTTTACTTAAAACTGCGATTGAAAGATGTCTAATTAATGTATTTGTTCAGGTCGTGTAACTCGGTATTTGTCAGCCAAATCCATAAGCGAATCGTTAAAGCAGTAAGTATTCGGTTTCGCACCATCTGTGCAAATGTATTTAAACGGAGGAATGTGTGCTGCACGTCCTTCATCCCCCTGAGTTAGTATAATGTACTCAGAGTCACCGCTGCCCAAAAAAAATATGAGGAACATTTTTCACCTTCAATTTATCCCCTGTTTAGTTATTTAGTAGAATACAATTGCAAAAAAATTGTTGGCTCACAGTATGCCTTTGCTCATCGGTGATAGAATAATCCATTAACTCAATCCAAAATCAGACATTGTAATGATCAGGTAATAGGTTGTGGTGCAAATATTTTGAATCTTTTCCGCTAAAGGTAAAAATAACTTGAACCTGCTACGATAGTATCAGCCCGAAAGCCAACAGCTTTATCAATATCTTGGCGTAAACAATTTGATCCGTAAAGCGACTATGCGATAATTTATCAGTAAAATAATGTTTGATTAGCATCTAAGTCGGACCTCACTGCTTGGAGTACCTATTTCTATGTGGTTTACAACATTGCCGTTGGCTGTGCTTAAGATTCATTTATTATTAACTGTTGAATAGCGGTCCCGAAAAAGGTTGTAATAGATATTTGAATTTTTTTGCTGTTCTGAAGTTTTTGAAGTCCATAAAGTTTTTCCGTAAATTCTCCAAGATATTTTACGATCGTCAAATGAATTGGGTATAGGTTTGACAGTATGACCACAGCTTATCGTGATCTTCCAAAGGTAAGATCATCCACATAAGAACTTACCTTGCAGTGCTCTTTGATCCCAAAAAGGTAAAGCAAAGCATATTGCCTTGAGACACTTTGAAACGCAATAAACGAGGAAGATCTAGAAGTTCATGCTTGCAATAGATTTGTGACTAACTAAAACCGTGATTTGATGCTAGTAACTTCAAATGATTGAATTGACGAAATGTGTTAACCAGTAGAGGAGGTCGATTGATATGAATTCCACAGACGATTCCACATTAAAAACATTCAGTTTCCAGGTGACTTTGACGATCCGTGTTAGAATTGGAATCATCAACAGCTGAGATTTGTTTCTCACTTTGACACGTAGTTACTGGTCCACCATGTCACTATAACCAAATCCTCAACCTCAGTAAAACCGCAAGAAGATACTATCGTAGTTCTCAAATCAGCAGTTAGTTATGATAGTGTTGTGAGCTCCGTGCGGAATAAAACAAGCTGTTTACCTTGATACAAGTCAAGCAACAAGTTTGTATGGATGTCACAGCTTAGTTAATGTTCTGCTTAGCAAGGAACATTCCGGACGCCGACTGACAGACTTCGTGCAGCAGTAATGGCAGCAATACGGTCAGCAGCCTTGAATCTCGTAGCCGATGTGGATTGTACACAATCACTCGCATCATTTCTAAAGTAATTCCACAGCTGCTCAATCAGTTAAAAAATGTGTCTAGGAATTTATGGCTAGTTGATATTCCAGTGACATGGAATCCTACACTGGTGTGAGCATCACCAATTGTATGACTATCATCTGTGCGTGGATGATATTTTTGTGATTAGAAGGTTGTTTGATTCAATGGATATTTTGATTGATAAAAGTTACTCAGGAACAAACCTGCACTGTTTGACTTTGTGTGATTGATTTGATTGCTCGCGGTTGACGGACGTAGCTGATAATCACTCTCGCTATATCTTTTTCTCCATCAGCACAAAGAGTTTTTGTGTAAAAGCAGCAAACTGTTGATCTCTAAAACGAAATTTTAATACATTAATGTTATATGAAGGGCCAACATCAATACAGGTGATTCAGCGACTATCCACTCTATAAGATGTCTACTCAATCGCAACCGACAAATTCAGAGCGGACTCCTTGCTGTTTGATTTGGTTTGCCGCATCCTTTCAGAAATTGAAGGATAAGAGGCACATTCACTGTCATTAAACGTAGCAGCAGCTCATTCTATTTTAATGAATCGTTTGAATAAAGTCCTCAACGGATCTACTTCATAACTGAACATTAAAAACAAATAGAACCTTGAGAACTCTACAGCTTCTTTTTAAAACTAATTCTGAGAAGTATCATCACAATCCGTTGTCTTGCCCTTTCTCATCATTGCTTTTGTCATTGTTCCAAACAAAAATTTTATTAGCGGCCTGAAGGAACTGCCGTACCATGTTTCTGTGCATCAATTTGCCAAAATTGTTTGAACGGCTTCAATGTATAACCGTTCCAGATCTTTCACTTTGATGTATATCAGACCAATTTTTTGAGCCTAATTGATTCAATGTCTCAACCTGCCAAAATCCAATAATCTTGCGAGTGTTCGCCCAGTAATAACATATCTTGAGGATTCATCATAAACTGTAGGAAGTCAACAATTTCTATCAGCAGCAACACTAAGCTCTTGCCCAAGCGACCTATCATGGCGTTGACGGGGAACTGCAAATTGAAGTCTCCAGCAATCCATTGAATGTAAGTAGCATTTTTGCCTTGATGAAGATTTTAGATATTCAAGAACCTCCAGTTGAGTAGCGAAAGGCACCACTTATATTTTTAACAACTGTATAGACTCTTTGACAAAGTGGTTGTTTCAAATGTGTGGTGATAACACTACAGCTGACTGAAAACGTGCCAATTATGTAATCCTGACCAAGTGTTCCCAGCAGACAATACTCAATTCATAAAACTTCAGCGATCATTGGATGAAGACCAATCCGCGTAATACGATGAAAGCAAATTGAGGCTAGCTTGACACCTTTGGGAGCATAAAGAACAGTATCAAATGGTCACATTAAAATCCATCGAACAATTAACACCATTTGAAAGATTTATTACAAAGGATCTTCCAGTGATGCCTCGGCAACATCAAATAAGTTTCTCATTCAATAAAGTTTTACGGAAATATGGTGGGTGGCAACAGAATCTTAAAGTAACTCTTTGCCGCTCATCGTCAGCTCGGCTGTTAGTGTTTGCCAGCAGCCAAGCACCGCCTCATGATGAACGGGGACATTCGTCACGGCATTTACATCAGACGGATTACCTTGGAGTGAATGTCCTGCTGAAAATGGCGACTCGTCCAACGGTTACATCCAAAGTTTTTCTTTGTGACTACCAAAAAATGAAAGTTTTTTCGGTTTCGTCCGCGAAAATGATTCATTTCCAAGTCAGAGGAACGTTTTTGAGTCTGGTTTAGCTGCTATATAATCGTAACCGAAATGAATCGCGAAAAGATTTGCATTGGTAGCAGAAATCCACTGGAATCAGCAAACTGGGTGGAAACTCTTCTTACCTAAGATGTGATCAAACGAGAAGCAGCGTCGAAAAAGCAAGAACTTGATCAGCATTGCAGACGTTGAGAGTTGTCCCATGAAGCAAATTAAGTAATTAAATTTATTTACTTTTATTTGAGCACGTTCTTTCGCCACTTTGCAGATTCAAATTTGCTGGTAATACTCAAAGCTGCTTGAACGCTGTTTCTTCCATTCGCTGTTTCCAACATAACTAATAATTCACAGTGATACCAACGGTTAAGAACAACTTCTTCCAATAAAGCGAGTACTATTCGATCTGTAACCAATGTAGGAATGATGGTATCCAAGCGAACCATAACTTTCTGTCGTTCAACATCATCAACACATTGACACCTTCATTGATAAAGACATCAAACAAAGGATTCAAGTTAGTCGCTTTGTCATTCTAGAACCAAGCCCGATTAGTAATTTTAGCCCCGTTCACCATAATTTCTGACTGATTGCATGGAACTTCGGCTATTAAGCTCCGAATTTGCTGTTGCCTCTTCATCATACTTCATTAAAAATAAGATATGTCAACAGACCAAAAACGTCGAACAGATCCTCACGCCTTGTAATACTGATGTGTGTCACTTGGGTATCTAGATTGGATCCCTTGGAATCAGTGACCGCAGTGCGTTCTTGACGGTCTGTGATCTAACCCTGGTGCCATTAAATGAGGGAGTCAATAGTCTCTGCGGTCATTTATTTTATAGAGATTATTACTATTGTATATTACCATGAGTTGCAGTAGCAACTATAGAGGCCAATTACGGATGATCGGTTCAAGAACCTCAGAAACCGGTGTATCCTGCAAATGATCCTGTTTGGGCTTCTTTGTTGAATCTCAAAGCTTCTCAGATAGGTCGATTGTTCAAGACGATACCACATACGGGGTTATTCTTGATGGTGATGTTGAATGTCAGAAATATAAAATTGCATTGCTAATCATTTGACGTACGTTAAATACTCATAAATCTGTTTCTGCTGTTTAGGAAGAAGTGTGTCACAATGGCTGGTATGGCCTTCAAGTTTTGATTGACTTCAAGAAGCTTTATAATAGTATTGGTATTATAGCTGCTATTAGCATGACCAGATCTTTGATTTCAACTAACGGAACAAATTCATTATCCAATGGGAGGGATTAATGTAGAATAATTCATGAATTGCAGTGCAATATTCTAAACATCAACAATCCAGATGAAGTTGCAGCTATTTTTTCAGCTGCTTCTGCTTTTCACCCAACCTACAATGAGATTGCTCATACTCAAATTTGACATTTTCCCATTATTACATTTATGATGCGAAAATTTTCCCCACTCATTTGGGTGATGACTGATTTGTTGGTGGCCCATCTTTACCAGCCCTATGGTTTTTAAGCGCAAAACAATTCACAAGCCACAGCGATCAGAAGAACACGCTTTTCTTAACTCAAAAGAGGGCACATGCCTAGTAAGTGCTTGTCGCCGCAGGTTCCTTCTGCTGGATCATCACGTAAAGAAAATTGATCTGCAGCTGTGGCAGCTCAAGACGCTCACTATTGTGATCAGTTAATGTTTGCTCATTTGTTGCAAGTAACTGGCCAGGGATGTTGAGTTTCAAACGAGTCCTTTTTTATACTGGTGAATCCCAAAATATTTGTGACCTCAGATAAAGCATCAGCAATATGACTTCTGATTCAAATCAAAATGCTGCTATAGCTGACACTACAGTTCATGCCAATAGTAAGGGTACACCGCTGCTTTTATATCATTGAGCGTCGGAAAAAGTCCTTTAAGGTTTTATGGTTTGACTTTAACTAAAGTCACTAATGGTTCAATGAATGGGTCCTCCTTCTTCTACGAAGGTGATTGGGAGTCTATGAATGGGCCGATGGCTGGTAGGAGAGCAGCTTATGGGTTTCACGAATCAACCGATGCCCGATCTGCTGTTCCGCTCATTTCCGCATATTTTTATAAACATTTATGTATTTTCGTGCGCTGGGTGCCACAGCTATACCCCAAATCTAATATAGTCTTGCTGCTGGTGGAGCAGTGTATCACTGTTGTCGGATCGTAATAGCCACGAAAGATGTCAATAAGTACTGTCGACTCCAGGCCACCGCTGTTATATTTTTATCTACTGTTATTAAATTTGGGCCAATCGCAAAATTTACTGAGACTGAGTGAGACTGCTCTCCCAATCTTGCTGTCAATTGAACATGATCAGTTGTTTCTGCAAATGCTACACCCTTTTAAGCTGCTGCCAGCTTGCTATTTCTTCTAAGATTCACAGCAGTGTTATAATAAGACCGTTCTTGCTCTCCGCTCTGCCAAAGAAATTGCGTCCAAGCGGTTTGAACATATATGTCGAAGTGCTGGAGTTAAGCATAAGAAGTCATTTCTCTATGAAAATCAATTAAATTGAGGTCTGTGATCCTAACCAAAAATCGTTCATGACGAAGGCCAGCACAACGGTAGGTAGAGCTGCTGTTTCTGATTAGTGGTGAGATGACGGAATGCTGTGGTCAGTGATACTAATTGATCTGATTCCGACCGAAGAAGGCCATTCACTGGCGACCGCTTTCCTACGATTTATTGGAAGGAAATCAACTTCTGCTGTGTTGAACCTGTTTGGATATGCAAGTTATGCGATGAATCCTAAGGAAATCACTCAAGCCAAAACTGGTGATTCAACTATTTTGTGGTTTTCTTTTGTTTTCCACTTTACTAAACACTGCCACAGAGTGTATGATCCTCATAGCAACTTGGTGTTGGTCTGTTTTTCTTGGGGCATTGAAGAAAATAAATTTATGCTTAAAGATCTATCATTTGCTGCCAATAAGCCAACAATTCAATCTGCCATTGTGCTTACATCTACTGCTCCCGGTGTTATTGAGGGGATATCAGTCCACCGCTATCATTGACAAAAATTACCCAACAGCATTTTTGTGCACAATACATCTAGTGATAACTCCAATGAAATTGATGAATTAATTAAGATCAGCTGTGATGATAAATAGAAAAAGGTATGAAGGAGAATGAGTGTGTTTGAAATAATTAAGTTCCATCAACTCATTGCAATGATGAACTTCATTCCGCCAGAACTGGGGCCGCATCTGATAAGGACAATCTTACTAAAACCAAAAACAATTATCAGCTGGAAATCGATGCCGTTGAAAATGTCTTTAAATACTTTACAAATAAACTAAGGGGACTACTAAAGGAAGGAATCGACTGACTTATACACTCTGCGTTCGTATGACGTTTACCACTGTGAAACCAAATGCAGCGAATCCAATTTGGAGAACTTCTTCTAAGTCTAGAGTTCCACCAATGATTGAGTACAATCTGTACTAGTTGACTGATGCTTCTTCTGGAACAAGATTTGTTGGCTGTCGTTAGGTGTTTGGGACGATGTGTGGGCGGACAAGTGATTTTGCCAAGGAAAGTAGTTGCTAGACAAGACTTTCAACTAGAAGATATTGATTGAACCGAACCATCTATCCATTCAATTTATTAGGAAAATGTTCCAGTTGTTCCAGTCTTAGCTACCTCGAAGTCATTCAAATCTCGGCCAAAGGATGTTATAGCTTGCTTTCTTTTTCGCTATGTCAACTCTGAAATCTCCGTCAAATTACGTAGTAAATATTTTAACACCGATCATCCACGGCAAATTGTGGAGACTTCACAAATCAATTCCGCACTAATACAATCTCCGTTTTAATCAAAGAAAGAAATACTAGATGTTGGTGAATCTTCTTTTGTTACAAAAAGCTTCATGAAATGATCAAGCGTATTATCTCTGTACAAGGAGCCGTAGTCCATGCTAGGAATATATGGACATCATCTCATCATTACCGCATCTTCAAACTCAATGATCAATCTGGTGAAATCCAATCTCACTTGATTGATCAATATATCAGAACGTCCAGCAATTTTTGGTCGTTCTGTTGGACTTGATGCGGCTCAAAAATCCCACGGCTTTTCTGTATACATATTGACCACGTGGAGATTGATGGTTTAAAATCATAGAAGGATGTGATTCATTCTGAGGTTCTTCACAATGATGACGCGTAAAAAGTGCTACTTGAAACAGATGGCGCTGAAATAGATGCAAAATACTTATTACGATAGAGAGCTATTGTTCGATTACTGGTTTTGCTGCAAAATATTCACCGACTGATATTCCGAATTCTTTCAGGATACTAAGCTATTTTGTTGGTCCACCATGCAAGACTCATTTAAAAAGTCCCGAAAAGGTCGCATGATATATGAACTGATATCCATCGGTCGTTCCTTGCAAAGCTGCTTTTTCGGTTGAGGCAGTTGAATTATTTGACAGTGATTGGCCTGGAAACAGTGTTGATGAGAATCAGCTGCTGGTTATATGTTTCTCATTGGCAAAAAGCCACGTACTTTGACCCCAAAAAACGAAACCTCACTGCCTCCGGTAAATTGTGAAGCAGAACCCCTTTTCCTGACTGCAGCACTCAACAAGGCTTTAAAAAATTTTGATTTCTAAGTACGATGGTACGACTGCTGAAAAACCAATGACATATTGCGATAACATTTCTCCACTCAACTTCGCTGCGTTTCCTAGCAATCTAAATAGCCAGCAACCACATTTCAACTGGGTATCAGTTTATTCGAGGGTAGTGAATCGTTTCCTTTATCATTTCAAAATTTGATACAATATTGTTGCTGCAGTAATTTTGACTAAAAGGCTTGGCGGCCTTGTTTTTAAATGACTCAATTATTTGTTTTAATGAGTTTACTGCCCATGGTTGCGGTTAAGTCGCTTTTTTTTTCAGGTGTTTCTTTGATGATAACTGTTTCGTTGGTTTATTGTTGATTTTGCGACAGCGCTGTCATACGGAAGTTTGCTCACCATGGCGATGTATTTTTGATCACTGTTTTTGTTTGATTCCTTCATTCATTTTGGCTTCAGTTACAAAATGATATCGTTAGGATTGAATTGTAGTTTTGCTTACATTTCATTTCTTTAATATTTCACTCCATTATTATCATACCACTGTTTGGATCTTGCTGTTATATAATAGTTCAAGATTGTTCTATAGCAGCGGTTAAAAGCTAAGAGGGTTCTCAAACAAGTTTGCAAGGAATCTGTCATGGTGGCCGCGTATCGGGGTTTTCCACCTAAGAAGGAGGACTCCCGATGCCCCATTGGTTGAGAAGTTTGATGGGCCTTGCAATTCGAACACACAGACAAGTCTTTCAAAACCACACATTTTTCACACATCAAGATGGATATCTTCAGAAGACCTCTGTGTGATTTGAACCCTTTGCACGGCCCCTGTGAGCGGATCAGCGGAACAGATTCTTAGTTGCCACACGCGATTACTGATCGACCAAGGCGGGGGTCCTTGGTAAAGATTCTAAAATGTTCGACTTGACTGAGCCGGTCGTCTTACTTCTGGTTACTGATGTAACGCGGTTATTTTGATTCGCCCGCAGATCCATATTTGGTTCTTCGATTTCAGGAACCAGGTTGGGGCTCCTGCCTTTCCGCAATCTTGTCCTGTTCTGAATAGCGGAGGCTGGTGATCTATTGCAACTTTTTCGTTCGATAAAGCATCTCCCCATATTACATCACTAGGGATTGACTACAAGTCTAATCTCACACCCATCATACTTATCATTATTAAGTATTATCTATAGATCGTTTTTGTCATTTAGCTTTTAATCTTGCTACATTTTTTACAGAAAGTAATGGTGCTCATAAAATAACTAAAGTTTTAGTGAATCAATGTCACCTTTCTGAACGAATTTCATTTTGATTATATTATGGATTATCGTGGTTTAGTTCTTCATTTGTTTTTGGTTTCTTCGGATGATTATATCTCTGTTGATTTCCTGTTGCCTTTTCTACAGTGTTGCTACTGATCTCTTTTATTTACTGTCTTAATATCATTTGTACTAATCTTTCTGTCGCACTCCTACCTGTTATTTCACTACTCAAATCAAAACAATCAACTTTGAATCAAAGCCAACTCCTTTATTTAAAGCATCTAGGTTATAATTAACCGCTCGGCAGGGGCTGCATGATTCACATTCTCTAATGATCCACTAATTGCAAGGATATCCGTGCCAATGTTTTTGCCATCAACGATGGTGTCACCAATACCAGCAATGCGGTTGATGAGGAGTTAAGTCTCTGAACCAGTTTCCGTTAGCACAAACATTTTTGGAAGAACCAAAATTAACGGTGAACTGCTTGGAGTTCAACATCATCTTCATACGTGCTTTGAACCGCCAAGCCACCAGCGAGTGGTTCTCTTAAGGTGACGCAGTACAGCGACAGTAGCACAAACTTAAAGTGCAACAGATGATCCAGAGGGGATCGGTCGTGGGCCCGTCCTCTCAATACCCAGGTCTCCGGTTTTTTGGCGGCCATACCCTCTTACTGCTTTTTGGTTTTCCTAATTGGAAGGTTCATTCCTAACAGAGCCCAACGCTGTTGAGCCTCAGAACCCACCATGCACATCATCATCAAGGACATTGTGTATAATTTATCAATCAGTTGCTGCGATTTTCTCAGAAACTGTAAATTTAGTAAGAACTTATTCAGGGAAGGCGGGGTCCAACAGTGAAGCAGCGCAGAAGATGGCAGCAACTTGATCACCATGGTAGGTTTCAGAATATTGCATTGGAATTTATTCAAATTTTTATTGCAATTTCTCTTGCCGAATAGTATGATTGTCACTTACCGGAACAAGTTGACAGTGTCATGAAGATTGCTGGCTCATCGGGAATTGCACCATAAAGAATGCAGATGTTAAGAAGTAGTTCGCGGACATGGCGCCCATAATATAGCACATTATCCAGTTGTGGAGGAGCTAATTCACCACTGTCAAGTGTATGACCTTGCATTTCACTTGTCATAGCTTCGTTTGTGCTGGTTAGTTTCTGCTGTATTGGCAGAGGTGGTTTACAATCGGTGCTATGGCGGTCAAGTGTTAGCTAACATGAACGTGCATTATCGTACAATAGGAGTTGAGACTGTTAATATTCTGACCAGCACACGTACATGTGATCTGTGGCGAGATGCTTTATCTACATAAATGAAGTATAATAATTTTTACAACAAATTCCTTTTTAATGCTCCAAAGACCCACATTCCCGATCATGCTGCAGCAATTTCTTACGCATCATCTGTCTCCGACCTGCCAAGCGTGATTCGCACTTTGCTGATTCTACCAACCATCCCAAAGTTTGATTTGCTGAACAGATGTTTCCCACAATTATTTTCTTAATGATGCACCCACTGCTGGTTCACGTTTAACAGACTTTCTCTCGGGTGCTTGCACTTTATTCCTGAAACCACAAGGACAGAATCACATGAAATCGTTGTCGCAAAAGTCATATTTTTGCTAGTGAACGTTTTGCAGAACTGCCAGATTCTGCTGCATCAAATGAAGCCGAGCACGAGATAATCAGTATAAGTGGAGAGGTATGAAAAAGTAAAACGCAATGAACAGACCGCGACTCACTGTTAAAGAAGGTTTCGTTGCATCGCCAGGCGTCACGGTCGATGACTCCTGGCAAATATTGAAGGACCAAAATACGACATGCGGGACGGCTCCGGGAGGCGTCATCACTCATCAACGTCACTTCAGAGCATGTGCTCATCGTGATCGAAACTGCTTGAGTCCCTGCATCCAAGCAGTCCAATTTGCCGAGCGGACAGCATGAGTAAGTGCGAATAATCGACTCCAGGGCTCTGCCCTACGGCGCAGTGGAATCAGCTCAAATCCCAAATTCTGCTTGCTATTGCAGAGCAATTTGAGGGGACTAAAAAGGTTGCGTTTATAATTCCGGGTGGTTGGTTGCACGACCAATGTTCTTTAGCCCATCAAGAATTGATGCATGGAGTGTTCAATTGCTTTCTGCAAAAATTGATAGCCCGCAACTTCCTCTCCTTCTCTGTTTGCTGGTTTGCAATTACCAATTTGTCTTAGCCATGGCTCGGTCTACAATTGTGGACCCCGACACAACGTCAACAGCTTAAAAAAAGTGGAAAAGAAAAAAAATGAAAAAATAAACTAATCAAACACAAAATCAATATCTTTATACTACCCGCATAAAAAATTTTGAAATCTGATGGGAAGGAAGCATTGCAATCACATTTTATCCGTTTTAGAACAATATTACCTGAAGCTATCAAACATACTTCTAATGATAGAGAATCGCAATTAACAAAAGATAAAACAAACGATAATAATCAGGTAAAATCAAAACCGCAAATGCAGCAATGCCAGATCCATCGACAATTGAAGTGTTGAAGGAATTCATTTAGATAATTGAGCTTTAGAGCACTAAGCGCCTTGGTGATCCTCTTTGCCTCGTTACATTAATATCAAGTCGCGCAGAAATAACTGCACAAACCGCAATCTTTTTGCAAACTGACGCCTGATTGAAATATTCTTGGAGTGTTTGAGCATGGTCGGATTGATAGTGGGGACCATAGCAAATCTGTGAACAACTTAGCGAATTGGTTTCTGAGCGATTCTAACAATATATATTAAAACTTGCGTTAGGAACACCGCTTGCGTCACTGCTATATCCAGTCTGATCCGTTCAACTCCACAAGTCAGCCAAGATGGAGAAACCTGCTTTTTGCTGTTTTAAGCGACTGGTTGTTGATTACTCAGGACCATATCTCCACTAACTGATTTTTGTTTACCAGTGTTTCCAGGACAATCTCGTTCAGGTTATCCAACACCGTGAACAACAACCTGGTCTTTGCGATAAACAGTTCAGGGATTTTTGCTTTAATATTCCCGCCCCCTACTTGCGCAACTTCTATGCATCTGACAAATTGCAGCACAATAAGACAGAGTAACCCAACCGCCAAGCCAATATCATACCGTGAACAACTTGGGGCGAAACTAACGATCTAACTGTTGATCTGTCAAGGGATGACTCTTCAGCTTGTAAATCAATTAAATCAAATTGAAGTAGCGCTTTGTACTGTTTATCCATTATTTGTGCAGAAGCAAAGTCCGGGTCATTTATTTAAAAATCGTCTTTTAAAAGTGTGTCGTCGGTTTTCATTCGTTCAAAAATTCCATCGTTACTTTCAGTAACAAGAAATCACATAAATCGGTCGTGCATTAATTTTGCTTTTCATTTGTCAAGATTGAACATACGTGATAGTTGACGAGCTTGACTATAGCATCTGATGATAAGGCAATAATAATATCATTCACGTTTAATCGAAGGATACAGTCTTGTTTGTCCTTTGAAAGATAAAACACACCATGTTAAGCCCAAACTGATCGATACTGAAAAGGATTGCATAGCATTAAGAATGGCTATGTTAAAACAAAAAAGCGATTGTCAGAGTCCATGAATTAATTGTTGTTAGTTCCAAACTTTCGCCGAATATTGAGCATTATTAAATCCCTGAGGTTGACTAATGTGACGTAGGTGGTCCGTGTCACCATCAAAAATATTGATTTGCCAATTCACTTGATGAAGGTTGAATGAGCCGCAGCTGCATCACTAAATCGGAACTTGCACTGTCATACCTAATTGCAGTGCTGATTGTATTTGTATAATAAATAGCCTTAAGCAGAGCAAAACCCTTAATATCATATCTTGCGTTTGCAAACTTACCAGTCCGGGCTGATATTTTTTTGAACGGCGAACAACAGTGGATATGTTTTTTTTAACTGGTCGACCGGGCAACAAGTAGCTATTGTTTTCAACGAGTTCGTAAAACACTTATTGACAATCTGTTTTACCGATTGAATGGACCATCTGCTTTTGCTCTACTAGAGACATTAACGGCAGCTGGCAATTATGTCAGAAGTGGCTTGTCGTTATTGTTATCTTTTAACTTAGTTTTAAACCACATATGTACTCTTTCGATGTCTTCAAGATAATAGAGACGAAAGCTTTGGTTGCTACAAGTAGGTCCTGATCAAATTCAGCAGCGGTATTAGCATCAACGACAATATCAGCTTGATTTGTGGCTGCAAATGATTCGATTCAATTTCATTTATGGTTGTTGAAACCATCAACATCTTCATCATTTCAGCTGATCTGAACATGCTCATCAACCACATTATTGTTACCAATTGAATTAATACCTCAAGCAGATGCATTTCTGTTATTTTTGTCATTGGTAGCAGTCGACTTTTTATCCCACCTCCGATAACACTAACAGCAATACTTGAGACTCAACAGCAGAAGGAATTGGGTGTTTAATGGCAGAAAAAGTAGGATCTATAAAGAAAATTTGAGTATATTAAGCGGCATCAACGGCGGGCACCACCACAGCTGCTACGAAAAATGATCATGCTGTTGCTCTTTCTACTCATGTGGTAGCGAATACAAACAAAAATAACAATTCCATCACGTAACTGGGATTGGATGATTTGTTTGTGATCATTGGGAAAGAAAGAAGTTGGAAGCTCCGTCAGATACTACACTTCATTTTTATTTATAAACTCATTCAAACAGAGCAGTCAACTAAGATCTATGTTTCAAGGGAATACAATTCATCAGCGCCGCTGCACGCTCGAAGACCTTCTACCACACAAAATCAGGAACATCATCTTAAATTAACTTTTTTTTTGCAACGGCATGCTTGCTGATTTTCAACGCTCAGCATCCCTATTTTGATACGACTTTTAAAGAACTGACTTATTGCGTTTGCTTTTGGTTGATTGAGGAAATATTTTGAATATCCTGAATCAAAAGTGGTTATCATATTTCACAAAATAAGCCGTCTATTCAATTTTGGCAAAGGAAATTCAATATGATATAGAAACATGGGAACTGCTAATGATCGTTTAGCAATTGGAGTGAAAACTACATATTTTAACTGATCATAATCAATGGAGAGAAAATAAGTACTCACAACAACGGCAAGATCTGTCATTTTCCTGAAAATAATAGCCCGAAATTAACCAATGATAGGTGATAATTTTTCTGTAGTGGTGTCATTAATGTTTTGGGTTGGTATTCCTAGGTGAAAAACCTCAGATATTGAAGCAGCAGCAGCAGATAATCTATTGATTTTGTTGATATTTATTCCAACCGTTTGACCTCTTTTTCCTAAAAATTCGAACCACGAGGTGATAAAAAACGAATCAGCAGAAGGGCAAGAAAGCATTGCAATAATTGAAAAGCTGCTTACTTACTTCCCAATACACCTTTGAAAAATACAGCATCATGTTTAAATGAATGCCGGGCCACTTTACTTTAGCCAGTTGAAATCGAAATTACAGTTCAACGATGAGGAGCTTAAAAAATTTTCTTTATTGATGCACTATGAAACTGCAATCACGCTGCTCCTACTTTATACATCAACGATAATGTCACCAATACCAGCAGTCTCACCCTGAGAGGATTTAAACTGCTGAACAAATCTGGTTTAGCACAATTAATTAGGGATGCACAAAAAGCAACAAAGAACAAGTTTGAATGTAACATCACTTTTGCAAGTTCCGTTTGAAGATCAAGGAAACCGCGACTGACTAACTGGGGGGTTTTTAGAACAGCTAGAGAAGAAGAAGCATCGGCAAAAGCTGCTCAACCAGTTCGAGCTGGTAGTGCAGCTAAACCCCTACATGAGACAACTCCGGATCTGTGACATGGACGGCATGTCATTCTTTTTTGTTTTGGCTTCCTGCATTGATTCATACCAACAGTAACGACCGTACTTGAACTTCAGCCACCACCAAAAGCATCACCTTCAAGATGATTGGGCACACTCATTTCATCGCTAAGTCTATTGTTGTGACCGTCACCCAATTCAGTAAAGCCGCATCCCGTAGGAAAAACAGGAATGGAACCACTGTAAAGGTTAGCCGTTAATTGATTGCCACTGTAGCAATTTCCAATGGTCCAACAATATTATTTGAACAATGTGCTCTATTCTGGGTAAGTGGAGAATATACTTTGGCACCTTGCAGTAGTAAGTAACCACGTCATAATAAAAGCCGAATGAACCCCAATAGAGCGACAGAGCTTCTATATGTGACTAATACTCCACTGCTGTTTCACTCGTTGAAGAACACCACCTCCAATAAAAAAGGAACCAGTTCGGTGCAAAGCAAGATATCGCAAATGAATTCCCAACCATCCCAGGCTTTATCTTAATTGTCCTCATCAGCAAGAATAAGCCCTTTTTGCCAATGGATTGAACCAATGTACCAAACTGAATTGCTTTGAGATTGAAGACGGAAGCCCAAAGAGTAATGTTAGCAGCATCCGTTAGTTTCTTTCATTCTTGCGTGATAATATTCAAGATTTGGCTCATATGTGGCTTTTGGGAGTCAACCAATATATTAAGGCAATCAAATATATCAAAAAAATCAACTGAAAAGAGACCGCCAGCCACATTGACAGGGAATTGGATTGATGATAACGCGCCGCGGGAGCAGAAGGGTGACAGACACCGAGGGATCCAATGTATAAGTCCTGCAGGCTCTCAAATGTTCTTCAGATTCAGCGGATGCTTCTGTTCATGTAGCCGTTGCTGATGGCCCCACAGTTGTTGCGTCACTGTTTGGTTGGTCTTCGAGTGTGACTGACATGCGGCTGTTGAATTCCAGCAAGTTTAATTTTCATCCTCGTTCTTTGCAGCTTACGTAGGCTAACGCGGACTGCTTTGCTCACCAAGTTCTGGAATCAGCTCTGGATGCAGGTATTGGTAATACCATCGATGATGACTGAAAAGTTGGTACTGTCATTCTTGCGAACGGTGGATCACTGATGAATGTTTTATATGCCCCCAACGACCCTCCTCAATGACAATCTCTGCTGCTTCAATTGATGGGAGCTTTTTTAATTCCATGATGTTTGCGAATATTTGAATATTCCATGGGCCGGTCAATAAGCGGCTTCAGGATTATAAGGATGTCCCTTGGACCTATTGCCTGGTGGGTTGAGGGGCGAAGGACTTCATGAACCATAATGACATTCAAGTGGGACTATTGCAAAAGATAAAGCTAACATCTACATCATATCTGCTGTTTGGAGATCGAAATATGAGATTTCTCAAAGTGGGAAACTAAACAAAATTAGTAGCACGTCGTCCAAAGACCAGACCGTTATTGCTTATGGTGCTTTTCATGTTGATAATGTTGGGCGTTTGCCATTTGGGTTTTACGAAAGCCGTCGCTACTTTGTCACCAATGACGATGATTACTCGAAATCAGTTGATGTTGTTCCTATTCCAACTTGATTACTGGCTTTAAGCAAATTTCAAGATTATTTTTAATTGAGTTATCAGTTTTTCGCAAAAGAAGAGAATTCTATCTGATTTGATAGTCTGTTAGCGTGCAAGCAGTCAAAAGAAAATTGAGAAATTTAAAGAAATTTACATAAGATGTCAGTCACCTAGAATGGTGATGGAGATGGGGCCGCTGACATTTCTCAAACATCAAAAATGACAAAGGCCAGCACTAGGGTCGTAAAAATTAACGTTGCTGACAAGTTGAGGATTGATGTTCAGACGTGCAGCAGTTTTGAATAATTTGATTTCTACCAAACGTAGCGCTCTGCTCACTACTGCTTTTGAGCTGCTTCATGGAAGCGGAACAACTACCGCCAACATTGAATAGCTTGGATGAGCTCATAATTATATATTTTTCAAACTAATCACCCAAACCACGTTCAGTGAATGAAGTGTTCTTTGTGTGGTGGTTATTTACGAAACAACAAGAAAGACCTGCCACGCGTTCTCCCTTCATAACAGCTATGTCGTTCTCAGATCATTTGCTTGTGTCAAACGCAGCAATCTCTATTTTAAAGAAATATTTATTGGTGCTATTAATTGATCAGGTGCTTCGACAATTGAGGTTATCTTTCCTGCCCCCGCCTTAACAGAAACAAATTAGTCTACTAATAGCAATGAAAAGTGTATCACAACTGATTTGAATCAGCTCACTGATGAGTGGATAACCGCGGTGAAAATGATTATTAAACTGATAGCAGCTGCGATGATGCATCCGAAGCCGGTGGGCAAGCGAATCATTTGATTTCGAAAGGCTCTTTTGCATCCACAGATGACAGAGATCAAGTTCCTGATGCTAGCGCCGGTAATGAAATTGATATTATCCATCATGCTAAAGGTTAAAGAGCTCGTCAAGCAGATCCTGAGGACTCTCACAATGTACCAAAATGATTCAAAATTGATTCCAGCGATTTCATAGAAGCCAAGTCTGTTCTGACCCGTTTGAGCGCTTCGTTGACTGCCGCATCTACAATTGGATCAAAACGTGCACATCAAATTTCATAAGTTGGTTGTCGCTCACAGCATCTGCCATTGCTCCACAGCAATATTTACCCGCTGTTTGATCATCGTTCCGCAAACAGTCCTGTAAGATGTAGTTGGGGGTTGCCAAAGAAATCGGCGGCTACTTGACTTTCTTCTAATGGCAGACTGGCTGTTTAAAGTTACTCACTAATGGAAGGAATTTACCACACTGAATCAATTAGCTCTGTTTTGGGGAATAGAAGTGACTCAGTCTATGTTGCCCCTCTAGCATCAAACTCGTTGAAGGCCCTTAAAACAAATGAGATCACGGCTTCTGGTAATGGTGATAGCTACGCTGATATTTCCATAGCACCATCTGCTAGATGTGCAGATCATAGACATCCTTAGAAGCAATGGATGTCTCACCTTCAATTGAAGGTGCGAACCAACCACTCTTTTTCTACTACAAAAACATAATAAACCCTCTCCAAATGTTTTGGTTTGATGCAGCTTGAAATAAAAATGGGCGCTCAGTTCCTTCGTAAAGCTTGACCACCGAACTCAAAGAATATCAGATGACCATCTAGATATTGCCGATGTATTAAACGCAATGGTGAAAGCGGTCAAATGATCGTACTATCCTTTGTTCGAAATGAAAGTCCTTTGATTTACCCTAGGTGAAATCCATAGACTTAAGCATGTTGACAGTAGCAATGGAATTGCTGTCTACTTTGACCTAGGTCAAGATGATGCCTCGCCAGATTGATGCGGATGAGAGTCTGTCGAGGGTTACAGAAGTAAAGATTATCCTATAAATAGACCACTTGACACAGAAAGATGTGGGTCGGATGCCGACGAGTCATGACTTCATCTATCAACTAGAGGATGGTTCATTTTTGCTAAAACTAATATACCCCATCATATTGCTTTAGCTACTTGGTTCGTCAGTCGTTCGTTTGGAGCACCATGCATCTTCCTGCGAAGGTGTGCTGAAAGAGTGCTAAGAGATTTGAACTGACATCCATTAACTCCTCATAACAAAGGCCCGTCTTCAGTTGGGCTTGGTGAGCTATCTGAAAGTGAATGGGCTGCCGACATGGGTGATGAAAAAACGGTTGCTGCTTGTCATTTCTTTGCAAGTCGTAAAGGCGTACGATGGAAATGCACGAGCCAGAGAGCAGTAGCATCGCTGACCTTTGACACGGATTGCATTTCACTCGCCGAGCAGACAAAAGAGATTTGTTCTCAATGGTGCTCCTCAAAATCATTGGTACAAATGTTGAAAACCCAACACTATATTTTGAAGAAGCATTTTGTAACAGAAAGCATAACCATTTTCTCAATTGCGGAAATCCCAAGTAAGATATAGTTGGGTATCATCTGAATTGAAAGATGTGCCAAGTGGATTGCCCTCTGGCCAGATTTGATAGGAAATGTATTGTTGTGGCGTGCTGGCTAAGAGCCTTAGTGGACCTGTGTTGTCGAAACACTTAATGAACAGCTTCTATAATTCCACTATTGAGTGTTGTTTGTTTGTAATATACTTCATTTTGGCGTTATCTGCTTATTATCAGTTATTTGATTTTGTGCGGCTTTCAGTTTTGTATTGTTAAACATTTCGTTGACTGATCCTCATAATACAATTGTTCAACCACGACAATTTGTCTTAAAATTGCTATCAATTTCATGTGCAAATGGTTTAGGTTTGTAATATAAAGTTCTGGCGTATTCACTTTGTTTTTTAGTATTTTCATGTGTTATTTCTTTTATACTAGGGTCTGAGTTGATTTTATATAAGCGTCGACGGATGTATCTGAATTGTGAAACAATGAAATGGGTGTTAAAATCCAAACGACAAAGCAATCTGACGAACTGGCCCGGGACGTTTTACCGTGACGAAGCAATATAAGTTCCTTTCAATTTTGATAGAACTGAATAAAATGACTTGGCGGAGCAACCCACATGCCCGTGATTTAAAGAAGACCTACTTTGGTTCTCCCAAAGTTGTTTTTGTCCGGAAGGCCTTGGTTGAGATTTGAACCCAATTCCTTGTGTTTGTGAACAAGTCTCTAAAAACTATCTATCTCACTCCCACCAGGCAACTGTTTGGCCAACCGACTCGATTGTTTGCAGATTCACATAAATGTTCGATTTCAAAAGCCCAATCAAGTGAAGACTGGCTACCGATTTGAAGGGTCATGTAGGATTCTCGCAGATTTCTATATTTGGATTGTCCCGGTCTATGAATCGGCTGCTCCCGTGGCTTTCGGTGATCGAAGCCAGTTCTTGCTTATGAAGACTGGTGTTCCACTGTACGTTCTTTTTTCTCATATACTTCTTTACTCTAATATATCATCCCGCATTCGCTACATCACGGTCGTATGGCACTTCAGTACAGGTGCTTTTCCAGAACGCATATGGTGAACGTGATAATGAAACTGCAACTCTCAACGCCAGACCACTCCATTCCAATTATTTGTGAAACACATTTTGGCAAAACAAGCATTACAACAACGGTTTTGAGGAAATCTATCGCAATATTTAAAAGGACTATATTGATGATGAAACTGCTGAGGTTTACTATTTTCCTTTGGCTTCAATTAATAGGTTGTTTGAATAGCCTGTTAATCAAATTACGGAGAAGAACATCAGCAGCTTTAGCAATGGAAAAGTTTTTGCCACTGCTCTTGCTGATGACGCACTCACCTGCTAAATTTGCATCAAGACCGTGGGGTCTGTTGGAATGTCTTCAGAATGCCAGATAATTGAGAATTAAAAAAAAACCCTTTCTGTGATTCTCGACTGTTGAAACTGAATCCATTCCACTCATCAAACCGGTCAGCAAAATTTTGTTTCTTGTAGAGACTTGCAAATTGATTAGTCGAAATCTTGAAAAATCCATTATAAACAGGGATATCAATTGATCTCCAAACCTGGGCGCTCAACCTACATAGCGCAGAACTTCAAAACTCATTGCGACCACGTTTCACTTTATGAGAGTTGTTCAATGTTCATGTTATTGATGCAAAAGTCAATACTAAAAGTATTCATGCTGATAGACTGCCGAAGTCACTTAGTCCTCCAATTTTCAAATATTTCAATAACATTCTTTGTTAATTCAATTGTTGATATTATTGTTATTGATACTTACGACTTTTTACCTTTAAAAATTCATTGCTGGTTCTATAATTTTTTGCTAGTAACGCTACAGAGATGTTATACATTTTACACACTCACTGAGATGATGTTCTTTCTACCACAGTTACAAAGTTCAAGCATTGCTGGGGTTTCTTTTCATTTGCAAAATCTCTACTTTACTATTATCAAAAATTGCATTTCCATGTGATTTGTTTAATCCTCTTATCTCGTACTCGCTTGGTCCTGTTTATAGTTTTACTTTCTATAGGAGTCCATAAGTGAAGCATAAGCAATATTTTAGACAAAAGGGTGTTTGCGAAAATATAGACCGGCCGCTCAACGTTCGCGTCTCCTAAAACGAAACCACTTTCCATCTCTCAATGCTTGAGAATCCATAAAGTCTTTCTTTGTGCAACGCAGAGTCCAGGATTTCAAGTTCACCCAATTTTCGTACCCGAGAACGGTACATTATTCAACGGCGTAATGACTACTAGAACCAACCTCACTGCGCCGGGCAGTAGATTCTTGGGGACACTGTATCGCTGTTGCACCTAGTAGCAGCTCGCCCAAACTCAACGCTTGGCAGCTGAGCCTCTACAGTGTTTGACTACATTAAGCCGATCTTTGGGGTCTTGTTACAATGGTAGAAGTGGCTGCGATGTGCACTCCACTGTCAAAATTGCGCCATCGGTGTGTTCACCTAGTCTGCTCCTGGGAGGCGGTAGGATCTAGCTGAATATCCCATACCTAGGGCTGGCAGTCACTTCCAAGGTTTTAGAATCAAACTTGTTTAGTTGTGTAAAATCGTATACTTCTACCAAGAGGATATAAACCAAATTGCGAATCTT